CTCAGGAACACAGCATCCTGTGGAATAGGCACAATGGGTCCCTGAGACCTTGGGAGTCCTGAGCGGAGTGGTTCCCAACCCAGGATGCTTTTGCTTCCCCAGCCCTTTTTATTTTTTATTTTAAGACAGGCACTAAGCTGCCCAGGTGGGACTCAAATTTGGGATCCTCCGGCCTCAGCCTCTCAGAGTGCTGGGATTGCCAGTGTGTGCACCATGCCAGCTGGGTCTAGCATCTTAATCACTGAGTAAATCAGTTTGTTGGCAAGAATATAAGAATTGGGCAGCCACTGAGTGCCTCCTACGTACGACACACTCCCCTGAGACAGGACTGCCCTTCTGCACATCTTACAGACACACATCGGAAACAGAGTGGTTTGGCAACCTGCGTGAGGCCACCCAGCCAAGAGTGGTGCCACCTGGATTTGAACCTGGCCCCCGGCTTCCGCTGTCCGCGCCCTAGCACACCGTGCCTGACAGTTGCTCTGCAAGGCTGGCCTTAGAATTTTACGTAAAGGAAATCGCCATTGGTTGGAAGATACTTAGTGTTCAGATCTGTTACTCTCAGGCTCCTCTTGCTTCCTGCGTCCTCCCAATTGGCCGGGCAGGAGGGTTTAGCTAGAGATCGACCTGCGTCGCTCTTCCCCTGCCAGTTGCCTGGGTGAAATGAACTCTGGAGAGTCCCTGTTCCCACTCTCAGAGATTCTCCCACGATTCCTTTCTGGCTGCTAATAATTCAGTTTCAAGGTCGCATTTCCAGCTTTTTCTTTCTAGACCTCAGGCCGGCCGCTGGCCCTGGAAATCACATGCTCTGTCTTATGCGTGGTACAAACATCTTGAAGAACCAGCTCCTGCACACCCAGAGCCCTGGCCAGGCTGCAGGGTGGTCTCATCTTGTGGCCCCAAGTCCCCAGAAATGTCATACACGGCTTAGTGCCGAGGATGGCGGCATTTCCACCCTCGGTCCCGGTCAGCAGAAGGCGCTTTGATTGGCAGTGCCAGAGGTAGAAGAGTTGAAGGAAGTTCTTAAATCAGACTTCCGGAGCCCGATCGTGTGAATACATAATCTGCTGCGTGTGCCGGGACGCACAATACATCACCATCCATAATCGTAATGTGGCGTCGTACATCACCGGCTCATAATAAATAGCACATCATCTGCTCATGATATTTTATCATGCAATATCGGGACACCTGCTCACAACATCGCATGTTATGTGATCGATACTCCTCAGCATTTCTCCTTAGAAGGAGCCTCTTCAGATACATTTGTTTAAAAAAAAAAAAAAAGTGCCACTGGCTTTTGTTAGAAAGGGAAGAGATTCCCACAGGTCCTAGAGGCTGGACTGGCCCTAGCGCAGCACGGCCTGTAGTTTCTTGTCCGTGACACGAGGTTTCGGCTACACCGGAAGGGCGGGAGCTGGCAGGCTAAGCCAGTTCGGACCCGTTCTGGGCCTGCTGAATGAGAATATGCATTTGGCTAAGATTTCTAGGTGATCTGCGACCATATGAAAGTTTGAGAAGTGCTATCCAGCTAGGCTCAGTGACACACTCCCGTAATCACAGCTACTCTGGAGGCTGAGGCAGGAGGATGGCAAGTTTGAGCCCAACATGGACAGTTTAGTGCCTTACTGAGATCCTCTCTCAAGATAAAAGATAAAAGGGCCGAGGCTGTGGCACAGGGGTAGAGCACCCCAAGGATCAGTCCCCGGCCTCTCTCTCACACACAGCAGCTCGCCAAGGCACCTGAATGTAGGTGCCTTGAAGTTAAAGTCAGGGGTCCTCCCGGTCCTGCACCAACAAAAGCACACAGTGATCCCAACACACGTGTGGCAGGGTCCCCCGGGAGCTGCCGAGGTCCCCCCGCCACAGCCTCGCCCATGGAATCTGCAGCCTCACAGGTGTCCACTCCGGCCTGGCCAGGGGTGTCTTGGGCCCTGAGAATGTGGGCCGGGCCAGGATTTTTTAAAAACCCAGATTTGTCTTAATTCCACCTTCGTCTCCCTAAATCTCCTGGAAACTCACTGGGAGATGAAAACTGCCTAAGTAAAAATACACTCTACTCTTATGTTTTGATTTCTGGTTTTCTAATCCTGTCTTTAAAACCGCCACGTATAAACGTGCAAATATTTCCTGCTGGAAAGAAGACCCATAGAGAAAGCTTCACAACCAACCTAACCCTAACCCTCAGCGTGGAGCTCGGCACGGGCATCTTTGGAAGGCCCGAAGATGTGGCCCTTTCTACAGGCCGTGTCCTGGGTGTTGAGGGGCAGTCAGTGGCTGCTCTGGCCCCTGCCTCTAGAGGCCAGCAGCACACCACCCCCTTCCTTGAAAATGGCCCCAGCCTTCGCCAAATGTCCCCTGGGAGTCAAAGTCGCCCCTGGGCCAGAATCGCGGCCCATCTTAAAACTCAAGCTGACAGCACCTAGAGCAACCCCGTCCTGTGTCCACCCCAGCAGCTGGGCGGCCTGGGCAGCTGCCACTCGCTGCCTTCCGGCCAGCCTGTGTGTGCCCCGTGTGAACTGTGAGCGGGCGTGCGCGCGTGTGTGCAAGGAGTACATATGCGTGACTGCGGTAATTCTTTTATCTTCCTCTCACACCCTGGGCATTATGAACATTCATCAAAATAATTGACGCGGATGAAATTAGCACTTCCTGCTATGTTGGGCAGATAAACTTTGCTGAATATTGATTTCACACAAAGAAAATGACATGTGCTTGGGCCTAACCCTTTATCTGGCCGGGCCAGGGAACGAGGCAGGAGGGGGACAGGGCCGGTCGCAGCCGGTGGAGACGTGGCCATGAGAATTCCTTTTATCTCCTCCTCCACGAGAAGACAAGAAAAGATAAGGAACAGAGGGAGAGGGCGAGCAGCCCTGGGCGGGGGGATCTGCACCGGCGTGGGAGCGGGACGGGCCGTCCTGGGGGACCGAGCTGTGTATGCAGAAGACGGAGGAGGAGCCCAGTCGGAGAGAGCAGAGCGGTGCTGGGGACGAAGGCTGTGAGGCCGCCGCTGGCCGCTGGCCGCTGGCCGGGCTCAGCTCCAAGCCGGCAGAAGATCCAGGGCGTGGGATTGCAGCTCGGAAGCCAGGCAGCCCCGGGCCCACCAGGTCACCTCACCCTGTGGCTTAGCCGTCCGACCTTGGGCGCTGGGCCTGTTTCCCCTCTCTAGACCCGAGGCTGTGGACCTCCCTCCCGGCCCGGGTGAGGGCTGAAAGAGCCCTGGAGTTGTGCGGTGTGGAGCATCCCACAGGAGCAGGATCCGCCGGGAGCAAGGCCACCTCCCGCTCGGCCCTCCCTGCCGGGACCTCTGCCCCCAGACGGCCCCGCCTGGCCCTGTCTTCTGCAACCCCGAGATGGTGGCGTCAGGAGAGCTCGGCTTCCCTCCCCCAGGCCAAGCTCACGTCGCCGAGGGTGGACTGTGCGCAGGGTTGGCCCAGCAGCCCCAGGCGAACAGCAGGGATCTCTCTCCTTCCCGCTCTTCCCTGTCTTTCTGCTTCTCTCCCCTTCGACCTCTCCCTCCGCCTCCTCTTCGTCTTCCTTCCTCTACCTCTTCCTCTCTCTCATCCTCTTCCCCTCCTGCCTTGTCCAGGCGGGGCGCAAGCTTGCCGTGTCCCCCGTGTCCCCGTGGTGAGTGTGGGCTGCCGCCCCCGCAGACGCACCTCTACTGCCTCGCCACACGGTGACTGCGATGCCACACACAGGCACGGCGACGGCCCAGGGCAGCTCCTGCCGTGACCCCGCTTCTCACCCGGAAGCAAAAGAGCAAAGAGGCCGTGTCCCTTCCTCCTCCGCCGCCACAGGGTGGCCCCCGCTGAGGGCTCTGGCCGCCCTGGCCACACGCCCCTCTAGCCTCGCCACACGGTGACTGCGATGCCACACACAGGCACGGCGACGGCCCAGGGCAGCTCCTGCCGTGACCCCGCTTCTCACCCGGAAGCAAAAGAGCAAAGAGGCCGTGTCCCTTCCTCCTCCGCCGCCCCCGCACGCACCTCTACTGCCTCGCCACACGGTGACTGCGATGCCACACACAGGCACGGCGACGGCCCAGGGCAGCTCCTGCCGTGACCCCGCTTCTCACCCGGAAGCAAAAGAGCAAAGAGGCCGTGTCCCTTCTCCCTCCGCCGCCACAGGGTGGCCCCCGCTGAGGGCTCTGGCCGCCCTGGCCACAGCTGCGCCGGCGTCTCCCCGCCCCTGCCGTGCTCTCCACGCACCTCAGCTCTGTAGTGACCCGGGAATGACAGAGCTGAGAGACACCTGCTTCCTTTCCGGGGTGAGGGGACGGGGCGCTTAGTTAACTGGGCTCAGGGCTGCCCCAGATCCTGCAGGGAAGGGGAGAAAAGGAGAAGGGAAGAGGAGGGGCCCCCAGCACCCTGAACAGGTCACCCCCAGGATCTCTCCCAGGTGACCCCGTCCAGAGGCCTCCTCGTGCCGCGAAGGACAGGTGACCACTGCCCAGCCCCCTCGGACCCGCCTGTGTCACCCTGTGCAGGCCGCACCCACGCTCATCGGGTGCCACGTCGGCCACCGGGCAGGGACCTGGGGCTCCTTGCCACCCCCACCCCCTCTCAGTGTCGCTGGACCCGGATGCAGTGACCATGACAACGGTGGC